TGAATATTCATGTCCACGATTATCGCGCACACTTTATCACGCGCGTAACTCCGTCAGACGAATCAAAGAATCGGTAATCCGCGCACAGGTCGCGGAATATATCTCGTCGAGAGAATTTGCCAATAAAACAGATCTGAGCCGACTGACGTGAATAAATGTCACGATGCGTCAAGTTAATCGAGATATTGATCGAAGAAGCAAGTTTGTAACGTTTTATTGATTAAGTCGGAGATGTAATAAAAGACGTTTCTGCAATTTCCGTTGTTGACCGCGACGTATACTTCACATTCACTCACGAGGATCTTCACCGAACCTTGTCTGAAAAAATTCTCGCGCAAACATATTCATCGTCTCGAAAGGAACACGCGTATATGCGTACGTAGGTATCCAACGATCGATCTGCGCGGACTCTTGAGCAAGTCAGCGACGAGTGCGGAGAGGTAGTGGCAGGTATACAGAGACAGGTAAACGAATGTGCAATTAATTTCTCGAAGCGAAGGTTCGCACAGAGGCGCGTACTGGGCGGTCGACAAAATAATACGCTACGAGGAGGAAAGACCGAGAGATCGGTTGAAATGAAACAGCGAAAGTGCATACGTACGTAAAACGCGACGCGTGACGTAGAAAGAGAGGAAGTGCGAGGTAACCAATCCCTTTCGACCTTGCCCGCGATCGAATAAGATCGATATGTACCATTATTAAGTGTGCGTTTTTACCTGCGTGCACGCAGGGCCGCATTCCTCCCGGCGGTGGTGCCGCGACATGTATCAGGAAGTTGTCGAAAGCGCGGCCTTGTCCCGCCGAAACCACAGCCGGATAGATTCATGAGACAAAGCCCGAGAGCCCGAAGTAGAAAAACTTCCCGGAGGCGTGCGGTCGATCGATCGACTTCCGTCAATGAAACTCTCTCTTTAATTCTTTTGCGTATAACTCGTCGTAATATATAGCAAGCTATGTATAAAACTTGTCTTTTCACAATTTGTCGGCAATTAAAATTAAATAAAAACGCAGACAACATGAATTAATTATTTGTACAAAATAAATTAAGCAAGTCATGGCAATCATTCATAAATATGATAGGTAATTACAATAAGATTTAACGATTTTAATTGCTACCATTAACTACACGTTGAACGTTTTAGCATCGAGAAATTTAATCGATGCAAAATCTAAAATTCAATTAATAAAAACTTTTTTTTTTCCGTCAGGGAACGATCGCGTTGTAAAGGGTGTTAAAATAGAATTCCTCGGCACGCAAATCAATCGCGATCGATGCGACACGTCGGTAAAATCGCGTGATGAGCGTAGGTGCGGCGCAGCAATACGCAGTCACATTTAAATTTCAATCGAGATGCAATCGCCGTTAATGGAAACCGTACAAATTGCCACGTGAGGATGTACTCGTTTTTTCCGACGACGCGAGTGAACGCAACGGACGATCTCATGACTCGCCGGCTACGATTAATGTCCGTTTGCGAAATACGGCTAATAACTTTAATCGGCTCGTACGCAAGTACCTTCTTCGTTGACACGGCGGTACGATACTTTGTCTTTTCTGGTGTATACTTAAGAAAATAGGTAGCAAACAACTGCAGAAAACTGACTAATTACACAGCAAGTATATATACGTATAATCGTCATAGTGCATAGAACGTCCTGGTTTACTGCAATTCCTTTCGCGAGCACACAAAGTATGAATACAAGATATTCAAATTAATTAAAACATCTGTCTTTATTCTCCTGAGACAATTATTGTAGAGAGTAATTTTAACAATCATCTCGAAGTCGCAATTGTTCTATACAATTCATTTTCGATATGTTTACGCGAATAATTGATACATCTAGGTATCGGTCCATTATTTCAGAGAGACATTCAAAAAATCGTCTTGAAATATCGGAAAGAAAACCGTTATCCATAAATATTCATACACGAAAAAAAAAAGATGTTGAATCAACAGTATCAGTTTAATTGAAATATATCCTGTTGATGTAATATCAATATTGCACTACACACCGCAGATAGTTGTTTTAAGAATAATCTAGACATTAAATTAATCGCATATGCAATTAAATGAACTATTTATTTTTGTGGCAGCCCGTGACGTCAACTTTAATTGAAGCAACTCTATTTTTTTTTCTGTGTATAAATCGAAAGATTCAAGGCGATTCGCGCTTAATTAACATGTTATCAACGATTCCGCTCTCAATATCTTGCAACTACAGTCGGCTGATTCGCATCCGTTCTTGCCCAACAATTAGAGAATATTCGCGCAGCGCCGTTTCTCTTTATTGCAAAAAGACCCGAAATTAATTGTCGACGTAAGAAGGCCAACGAGCGCGGTCTAACAAATCACCGATATCGGGCTTTTGTGATAAAAAACAAAAAAAAACAAAAAAAAAAAAGAGAAAAGGATCACGCACCACGATTTGTTTGAACAACAACGTTCGCGAGACGTCCGTGATACGTGGAGCCGTGTGAAAGAGAGATCTCCGTCTGTATGTATAAAAGCCACGTAACTTTTTACCTTGGCGCGAAAGTTACGGAGGCCGACCGAGGAGGAACGGTGCACTTGACTTCCAACGATCGAGATCGTTCCGCGAGATCACGACCTCGTGAATATCTCTGTCGTCGTGGACCGCCAGCTGAACGACACCGGAAAGGTAGTAGTCGGGGAAATAGAAAAGAAGCCGATCGTTTTAATCCTTGTTTGAAACATACTATATATGCGCGCGCGGTTCCTGAGCGGAATATTTAATTTGCGCGGAAAATCCAAACGCAGTGATTATAAGCTCAATTTGCGCGACCCGCATTAAGGCACGTAAATGCCTTTTATCGTCCTTGCGCTTCGACGTGAGTCAGTCGATCCGATCGAGGTTGAAACACGTCAGGGAGCTTCCCAGAAACGATCGAACGGATCAGCTGAACGCGCACCGATGAAACTCGATGCCCGGTGAAATTCAAGGTTACGAAATGGACCAATGAATACTCCGAGCGACAAACGGTTGCGCAACGACACCTTGTTACGTCTTGGCTATGTTACGCGTTCCGTGAGACGACGATTTGGAAGTCACGTTAGCCACACTGTCACATGCAATCATCAGATTGCTTCGCGTAATATGTTCGTTATTTATGATGGGTTTTATTCCAGCTATACACTTCGTCAATTTATACCCTTCGAATTCTTAACAAAAAAAAAAAAAGAAAAAAAACAAAAACGATATTTGCGGTATAATCTTCGTCATCTCTATTAACCACCCGGAGATAAACGGAACGATTACGCCACGGTATGATCGCGATATTGCGGAACTGTCTATATGGGAATCACAGCCTCCCACGCGACCGTCAAGTATCCGCGTCACTGTTATGAAATATCGGTAAATAATCGCGCAACGGTAAGTCGCGAAATTAGCATTTTATTCTATTTAGTTCGATCGAGTAAAAATTGCAAGAGTATTTGCATGACTTTTGACGTTTTACAAAACAGCGCGTGTAACATATTGACTCAAATGCATTTGCATTGCGTTTTTTGTCGAAGCTTATCGCGCGGACTTACATACGCGAACAAATTACAGCATTGCGACTTCTTCCCACCGCATCTTTGCCTACGCAAATCGATATCGAGGAAATAGATTCGCGCAAAAGAGACGGAATTTCTTCTTGCCCGGTTTGGTCACGTCGATATCACTGCAGGGCGTTACTTACACACACATACACACACAGAGAGGAATTACGAGCGCGTTCGTGCGCGCGATGACGTGCGATTCGACGACGAAGCAACGTGCGAGCCGACAAAAGACGACGCGAGGTCCAGATTGCGTGGACCGGCATAAAAATAAAACGAACCGGAGAGCACGCGATAAGGAGGAGCCTTTTCTTCCGGTCGTTGATCGCGACCGGCAAACACGGCCGAAGGACGATGTTGAGTTACGAAGTACAAGAGCGCAGACACATCGTCGCAAAAATAAAAAGACGGATATTCCATTACGCGCTAAAAAGCACGTGACAGATACTTCGTGACAGCAAGAATGAATGTTTAATTTAACGATAATGTGAGGCCATTTAATACCTCACTTGGTGCGATTTTTCACATCTTCCCTAAGAACGATCCTTACAATGCGTGCGGCGAATTGAAGTTCCTTGTCTCATGTTGGTTCCGTATTAATAAAATTTCAATTAAAAAACAGAAACGAGAGAAGATAATTGCGTCCTGTCGTAATTCGCGCGTTATTGTTATCATTGTCATTCATCTCGAGCACAGTCCGCACAGTGAAGAAAACAAGCGTCGTCATTATACGGTGACGGAGAACGACGCGGTATATAGATCGTGCGGTTGTACCCACGATATCAAAACCTGCACCATGTCGGAAGTCGAGAGATAAGACTACCTTTCCCCGCGCGCACCTTTTTCCGTGAACGATATGTCCGAGACAGGAGGAAAAACCTAAGGTGTGTCGCGGTTACGCGAGGAATCGAATCGAAACGGAATTCGAGAGAGAGAGAGAGAGAGAGAGATAAGCCCACACTTCCTCTAAGCGATCGTTAACGGTAAACGATCTCGCGCGGCGAACTAACGAGATAACGCAAATGTCTCCGAACAGTTTCCTGTATCGAGATATAGGAACGAGATTGATGGAAGCGACCGATATCATACAACCGGATTGGACCTAGGGCGCAGCTTGCGGTCCCTTCCCTCGACTTCCCGTTTGTCCTTGCGCCTTGAAGCAGCACCCTAGGGAGAATGGGTTTCGCGTTCTCCGCGCGACGACTCACGCATGTGTTCTTGGCGTTGCCACGCACTCAGGTAGGAAGCAAGGAAAAAAAAGATCGATCCTCTCAGCCGTGGTGGAACTGCCCGTGTGTAGAATCGACGCGCCGCGGAACGAGCAAGCGAGCGAGCGAGCAAGCGAGCACGAGCGCGCTCGCACGTTCGCCAGAGTGGGAGATACGAAGGTATAAAACCGATCTGGTGGACTGGTACCAGCCAGTCCAAAGGCCAGATGCGGCGGCGGCTCTAGTCGCACGCGTGCGAGAGAGACGATCACGGTGCTCGGCGCGGTACTTCTTTTATTAATTAAAGAGATAACACGACTACGCGGCATAAGTACACATATGCGAAACGAGTGACCAGCGTACCCAACACTGGTTGTTTCCTTCTGGGTGGTGAGTCCGTGCAGGATTATTTTTTTTTTTTTTTTTTTTACAAAAGGAGTCCAAGCGAAAACTCGCGCGTTGCGCGTGCACACGTCCGAGGGAGGAGTCTCGATTGACGACGAGGCACTGTCTTCTGCTCCTGAAAGGAGGAAAGGACGGCGAGCTCCGAATCGACTCGATCTTTGAAGAACACGTTCCCTAGGGACACACGCGCTTCGTGACAATCACTCTCCCTCTTGCCTTATCGAGAAGAGGGTAAGAAGGATTTCGAGTTAGACACCGATAATAGTCACGCACGGAGCACCTGCACGAAAAATCGATTTGAGTAAATTCTTCGAAGGTGATCGACACTAGTGGGTTTCTTGTGGAATCCGTGAATTAATAAGAAAGTCACCAGCCGTTACGCTCGAAGAAGTGGTGATTTTCTTGACAAAGGAGCCAGCTCCCAAATAGTATACCGATGAAGATCGAGGAGGCATCGATTTCCGTTAGCAATTTGGAAGAGTGTGCTCTGTCGGGGTTGTTTCGTGAAGGATCGACGCCCCCCCGTAGCATGTCGGCGATTCGTATCAACGTGGAGGAGGCTCCTAACAACGACATCCGCGAGGATCTCGTTGAAGACGTAAGTCCGGCAGCTTTAATTAACGCGATAATCGATGATTCTCAATATGTAGTAACACGGCATTCATCTTACCGGCAATTTTCGAAGAAGGGGGAAATAACGTCACAAGGAAATCACGCGTGTCTTTTAGCTTTTTATCGATTCCCGGCTTTCTATTTCGTCGTTTCTTCCGCTATTCAGGTGGCTGATGCTCATCCACGTTTCGATCTCCGTGTCGATTCAACCTCTTGCGAGACCCGGAGGCACTTTCACGGTTGCGCGACGAGCGTCTCTCGGTTTGGCGGGAAACGCGTCACGGCACAAAGAAAACCGCGAGCGTAACTGAGAGTCGCGTCGACATCCAGCGAAACTATAGGTGCCGAGAACTAATGAGCTAATGAGTTATACGCAATTACGACTCAAAGTGAAAATTTATTTCCGCTGTTACATTATTATCGATGTGTCTCTCCCGATATAGTTCCTTTCAATCGTAAAATAATAATCAAGACGCGAAGTAACATCAATTTCAATTTTATTTGTCATTCAATTGCACGAACAACTTCCGTGGTTGGTAAAAATTCGAGAACTGTCGTCACGTGCGCGCGCGTATATCAACTTTAGATCTATTTCGGAGAATCTCCGCGAGATAATTAATAAGAGAACTCGCGAACCTCCGATTCTTTTTTATTCAAAAAAAAAAACTATGGTCGTGACTCTCGAAAGAGGGACAAGTTCAACGCACGAGTGCGTACGGCAGAGCCTTAATGGGCGTTACACGGTATCAATAAAATCGAGACATTCCGGTAAAAGGCGTCGAATGCATTAGGTTCACGGGCAACATGTGCGACTGTATACCGTTCACCGCGCGAATACTTAATAAGCCTGACACCCGTCCAAGTTTTATGTAATGCAAAAAACGGGGTTCTGCTGCGACTTTGCACACACCACACACCCGTTGAGAAACGAAGGACAACATTGTTCTCATACACATATGCGTCTCTCTTTCTCCCTCGAGAAGTGAAAAATAATATGCGCTAAATAGAAAAAAGTCTACTCTAAGCGAGCTGCAAACTCTATGTGTAGTAATTATTTTATCCGTGAGAACACCTGTCGACAGTTCCCTGAGACGGAGAGAACGTCGACTCTCTTTAAACCTGCATTTAAGGGAAAATATAGCTTGACAATAGCGCGATAATTACACAATTTCTTTGATACGGAAGTGTACATTGTGTTTTGGTTAAGAAAAATACGTTAAGATTCGAGATTGATCGTAGAAAATCCATCGTGAATATTAAGGTCGCGGTTCTTGAGATAACCTATTCCATGATACTTTGTTTTATTATTATCCGCTTTCAAGCGGCTCGCAAAGCGACACATTGTTCTCGCGTTAATCTTTCGGTTTATGTTCGACAGACCGCTTCGTAATCGAAAAACGACTGGCAAGCGATTCGACTTGTTAGCTTGTATAACGCTAAGCGCGCTCAACACGCGCAGTAGCGAGCCTAATTACAATAACGTCGCGCGCATAATGACGGGACTTTTACCGAAGCGCTGTTTCTCGCAGCAGCCGCGAAACCCACTAGTCGATGATTTATTCACGGTAAGAGATTCGGTTTCACTTATATCTCGGCGATACTTTTAACTTTCACGCTCGAAGCAATCGCGGAACAGATCGGCCTCATCGAGTATGCACGTTATAAAGATGCAAAACAACATATTTCCTAGAAAATTCTAATTTCCGACTTGACAAATGCAAATAAAATTCTTGTTTTAATCTAAAATTGCGGACGTAACATAACCAATTACCGATTTTTAAACCGCACGTTTCACCTCGCGTGGAATTTGCGCGATAGCTTCGTCGGTCCGATAACTTCATAAATGATTTTGACGTGTTACGGTCGAAGGAATGAAGTGCAGTTTGCGAGTGCCGAGGTTGCCTGCAAAAGAACAATGTCTACGTACTTGAGCGCGAGCTGAACGATCAGATCTCAACAACAAGGCGGTGAGTAACCCACCTGCGGGCCATTAATCATCTTACGCGCAACTTCCATAATTCTCGTCGTTTTATAAGTTTGCGACTTCACTTGCGCGATTACACGCGTGCGAGTCGAGTATGCGCGAGCGTGTGGCATAAACCGCAGAACTTCATCGCGACGGACCTTGTTTCGCCCGGAATTCCCGCCCCAACAGAAATTGTTGATTTACGACCGGAGAACATTTGTAACGACTCTCAGAAATTTTTATAGCGGCAACTTTATACGTCGCTCCGCCCGACTAGATTTCGTTCATGAACGCGTGGAATTTTTCGAACGATATCTTTCACGCGTACGAAGAGAGATAAATATTTGACAGTCTCTCCGATTAACCGTTATAAATATTACTTCCCGACGCGCTTGTTTTTAAATCTCAATTTATGCTTCGCTGAACCATCTCGCACGTCCTCTCAGGTGCTTAAACTTGTGCGAAATCTTTCGATGATTTATATGACCTCGCCCCATCTACCGCAATGTACCGTGCTTGTGGTAATTTACGCAAGAATCAGGTTGACACTAAATATTTTTTAAATGACAAAATTTGTTTACAAGTAAACAAACCTTTTCAGAATGACAGGTAGATAATAATCTGATCTTTACACAGACACGCCTATGTCTATATCACGATGGTATCTTGCAATACTACTTGTCGATTGAAAAAGATAAAACAGGATTCGAATCGGTCGAATTAAAAAGTCGCGATCATGACGCAAACGAATCAAACATTTGTTCGCACCTTTCGTCGAAATTGATTTTTCTAATATCAAAATCTAGTATGAAAATAATGTTCTATTTATAGCGTAGAAGTATGGCTCTTCCAAGTTTTATTTTGCCGATAGACCTTCCGATACGCCGTCGAAAGGAATGCGCGCGTGAAACGAGTGTCATTTGCCGGACGACTAGTCATGCAAGGTGTAATCTCGTTCTTTTTTTTTTGTTTTTTTTTTCTCTTGACACGCCTTGAAAAGATGCAAAAGTGGTTACAAAATGCTTCAAGATAAACTCTGGCACTTAACTTTATTGTAAAGAGGAGAGAAGAAAAAAGACTGAGATGAAAAATACTCAGCGTGACGTGTCGTCGTGAGCCGGGAACACAATGCTTGCCTCTCCGCGGTGCTTGAACCGGTACGAATTAGCTGCAGCGTGTGTGTAAAATTAGCAAACATACAAAACTATCATCTTTAGCACGAAAATTACAGCGACACGTCAGAAACGATAATTTTCTTGAGCGTTTTGCGTGTTGAAAATAACTTTTAAACGTCGAATCGAATAAAAATAGCGGGAATATCTTTATTATGTAATTTTTTTCGAATTATAAACTATCCCAATAAAATCATCAAAAGCTATTCTCTTGTAAAAAAAAAATAAATAAATAATAATAATAAATAAATAAATACTTCATAATACTCTTAAACATAAAATATTGATAGTACTTTTTCACGTACAACTTCACCGTGAATGTGTATGGTGTTTTTTTTGTAGAATATAATTAAAAATATACAGAAGAGAATGTTTGCTAGAATAGCAAGAAGATTAATTACTACATGATCAGCAAGACAAATCTGTTGAGCCTGTTGAAGTTTTTTTTTGTCTCAAAATGTTTTGTTGAAACAAAAAATCAAAATGCAATGATTCGCCTTGCAATCGGCATCTTGCAACAGAATTATTCGATCGATTGGACCATGCCCATCCAGAAAAGTCTCACGACATTAACAATTCGTTCGCCCTGTTTGCTCCAAAACTTCTTAACCGAGATTCGGCTTTGTGGTTATTAATGCGAAAGCGGTTCCCTTCCGTTTCGTCGATCGGATTATCCGTGCGCGCAACAAGGCAAATTGCGCGTCGCGTTTCAGCTTCACGTGTCAGCGAAAAAAAAATCACTACACGACAGGTCACAAATTGGACTTGTACGTAAGCTCTGAATGCAATTCATTCTGAACGTGAATTCGCTTAAAAATAGGATTTTTTGGTGGTTACAAAGTAAGTTTGTGTCTGCACGTGGCAAAATGCAAATTGACGCCTAAGTGAGTCATTCCTCATTTTTCCTTTTGATTCTTTTTTATCATGAAAAAATACGAAAATTTTCAACTGTCGTAACTATTTGGAATAATTACAATACAAGACCAGAATTTAAATTTTGTTTTCTCGAAAAAAGAGAATAAATTGGATCGGACTAACGTGTCATAAATAATATGTTGTTTGAGACAGTCGATGTCGAAAGAAACACAAGAATAAAAGATTTAACTACTGAGCTCAATAATTTCAATATAAATGACTTTCGTAAAATCGTTTCTCTGAAGTAAAATTTATATATAAAGTTTACATTAAAAAATCTTCTTTCTCCCAAAATTATACGTACGCTAATAACATGCGTAAGTTTGTAAATTAATTTTTTGCAAGTTATCTTGCTCAATACGCAAACACATTACAAGATACAAATCACCTGTGACGAGCAAATTAAATATTAATATTGACATTTTTTTTAAATGAAATTCTTATTATGTTCCCGTAATGCAAAATATTTTTTCATAATTTATAAGTCATTTTAGACCTTTAAATCCTCTCACACATACACACACTTGTGTATATAAAGGATAACCGGTTTTCGGCGATAAACACTTATCGGAGTTAGTCTTCTTTTACACATATATGATAAAAACCTAAGTAGAGTAAGCGATAATTATACACAAGAAGTCACTTCTGTTTGAGTTCCACAAATTTGTTAAGTTTGATTTTAATGTATAACGTAAATGGATATGGATTACGATTAAATCCGTAAGAACTCTCGACCCGGTCGTTCTCCCATCTGCTTTTATCTGAGACCCATGTGTACATTTGTGTATCACACTTATGTAATAACTTACATAACTTACATAAACTTACAAACAACTCTGTATCAAAGGCTTTTAAAAGCTTTTATTTATAACTTACGGTCCCGGTCAAGTTGCATGCAGGCTGTCACTCGACACGATTTCGGGAACTGATTTC